CCAAATCAATTAAGCGGTAAAGTACTTTATTAAAATATAATAAATATACAATTAATGCTACTAAAACACATGAAGTTGTGCGTAGCATAGTGGTAAAATGAACTCTAGCAAAGAAAAGGTAAGGTGTTCGATCTGTTTTAAGAGTATTTTTGGGATTTTTTTTTATTTTAACGTAAGGAGAAAATGGTAATTTTACAAATCATCTTCTTCCTCATGAGTACTCGTTTTCTGCAACCCTAATTACAGCCACCACTCTTTTTTTCCATTTATACACAGTTTTTTCTACTTTATTCATAATTTGTACACAAACATTATAGATCCAAGATAAAACACTAGATTCTAAACTTAGAATGCAAAAAAAAATAGTTTTTTAATGTTCCGATTTTTTGTCCGAACAAGGAGTAATCGCGGCGGCGGCACACTGCAGAGCGATTTTTCGGCGATTAACCGGCAACGCAGCCGCGTTTTATAACAAGGCATAAAACATACAAAAAAACGCGAAGAATATATTCGGAGCTTTAGTTGCATACTGATACAGTATAAATAAGTATATGTAATTTTTGTTATTTTACTTCTCATATATTGTATTTTGCTTTTCCATCCCTTCTCATATATGTAAGAAATTATTTCACATAAAAAGAATACAATATTAGCTAGTAATAACTAATTATAAGTACATGTAAGAAATTTATAAATTAGTTGGCTTAAAAAAGTGAGAGACAACGTTGGAAAAAATGATAAGACCATAGAAAAATAAAAAGGATAATGGGAGAGATCAAAGAATAAAAGACACGTGAAAGATATTTGACAGTGATGGTTTTAAGAAATGTAAAGGTCTCGTCGTTGTCTTCAATATGAAATGAAGTTACACGTAAATAGAAACAATCTTCTTTCTGTGTTCTAGATTATTACATAAACCAAGTTTCAGAGAGACTCAAGACTCAAGACAGAGAGAGAGAGGGTTTGGATGTGAATTGTGACGTGAAACACAAAACTAAAAAAGCAATTATATATATACACACAAAAACAAAATAGAAATATTTAAATGCATGCATAAACCCCCAAAAGAAAAGGGTACAGTAACGAAGAGAAATCATCAAGTCTATCTATTTTCTCAACTTATAAATGTTTATTATGATAATATA